ACCCTAGAAGAAATAGAAATTCAGCCTGACATGACTTATGAAGAAGAACTAGTACAAATATTGGCTCATGAGGTGAAACAGCTACGAAATAAGACAATTCCATTGGTCAAAGTATTATGGAGGAATCACAAAGTAGAGGAAGTAACGTGGGAACGTGAAGAAGACATGAAGAATCAGTACCCCCATATCTTTGTACAGTGAAAATTCGAGGAAAAATTTTCTTAAGAGGGTGATTTGTAACATCCCAAATATCGGGTTAGTGACTGAATTGTAATATTTCAAAATTTTGTGATTAAAGTAGATAAATTGAAAAGTTCAAGGATTTATGTGGAAGATTTTGTGTAGGATTAAATAAAAAAAATGATGAATGGAAGGGCAAAATAGTCATATGATCAATTAATGAATTAAAAATCTGATATGGCGAGGATATATACACGTGGAGATTTGAAAGAAAAAGGAAATGAAATATTCAGAGAACTCTCTTCTTCTTCTTTCAACCGTGAGCTACCATAGCAAAGGTGAGTTTTCTTGGGAGTTGATTATTCATTGAATTTAAGTTTGGTTTATGATTCTTAGATGATACTTAAGCTTAAGAAAAGCTTAAGTTGTCTTAAAACTATAAGATAAAGGAGTTAGGAAGGATTAAAGATAAGAGATCGCTAAATGAAATCTTAGGAGAGAGTTAATAATTAGATTTTGAGACTAAATTTGAGTTGTCATCAGCTAAATTAAGAATTATGAAATGTTAGAATTGAATTTGGAAGGGTAGTAGAGTTTAATGGCATGATAGGAGCTTAAAATGGAAGGTTTAGATTGGTACTGGTGAATTTTTGGGTTTTAAAGGTGAATTATGGGCTATGAGTATTGGTACTTCTTCATCCAGTACCAATACTTCAAGGGTAAATGAATGAAATTTGGAGTAGGGGTATCTATATTGTTCAACCAGTATCGATACTATAAGCCCGAATTTGACAAGTTATTCATGGAGTATCAATACCTGGGGGTAGTGTCGATACCAAGGGTACCAATACCATAAGGCATGTATCGATACCATTTTGGAAATAAGGATCACAGAATAGAAAATGGGTATCGATACAGTTTGGTATCGATACCAAAGCTACTGAAGTATCGGTACCATACATAAGGTATCGATACTACTCAAAGTGGAAAATTGTATAAAGCCTTTCTTTTAGCTTGAGTTATTCAGAATCGAATTATGATACTTAAAATTCTGATATGCATATCCAATATATGATTGTGCAGATATCAAGCATACGCAAGTTCTGGAACGATCGAAGAGTTAGGATCGATTAAGAATGTTAAAGTCATAGAAGGTGATTGGGAATAAGTGATGCTAAGGTGAGTGCATACTATAGTATAGATGTAGTTTTATGGAAATAAGACTTGTGATAAGTCTATTTCTTATGTTAAACTTTCATGGTCCAATAATTATGAACATGCATATATTATGATTAGTATAAACCCATGCATAAGTGATATATGTTTATATGTTTTGATACATGCTATATGATCCATGTGAACATAATAAAATAACATATGTTATATGATATGAGATTGATGGTTATATGTACATGTGATATGTGGCATGCGATAAGACATATGTGATTATAAGAGAAATGATATGAATACATGAATATATGATGAATTAAGAGACTATATGGAACATATAAATATTCAAGACCATGTCATGTGATGTGAGAGCTATAGGTATAATTGGCATGCCAAGAGTCGAGGGATTATATGAGGTCCTTTGGGACATATACGAGGTCCATCGGGACATACATGAGGTTCTTCGGGACAAAATTTTACATGCCACTAAGTGGACCCTTATACGAGCTGTGGTGACCCTTATTATTATTTATGATGGATCATATATGACATATTAAATAATGATATGATAGTTGTGATTGTATTTGAATTAATTAGATTGCATATTCATATTTTTAGGAAATGCATTATTGTATTTTTTATGCCTCACTAAGTCTATGACTTAGCGTGTAAGAGTTTTACACGTAGGTACTGAGAAGCAGGAGTATCAGACCTAGGATCTGCAGAACAACATACCTCCACTCGAAAGATCGTATCATAAGTAAATTACACACTATGTATTTTGTTGTATCAAAGGTGCTGGCATGTAGACAAATTGTGATTTACATATGCTATGATCGGTTTTGTTATGTGTTGAATATACTTATGTAAATTATTAACTTTATTTTAATGAAAGTTTGAATTTTCATGATTTTATAAGTTTTAATAGTCAATGTGACACCTTGGATTAGTATCCGGGTCAGGTACGGGTTAAGGGTGCTACAAGCGCCGCCTCCAACAAGTCGTTAGATCTGGACCTAACCAACGGTCCAAATCACCTCGAAACTAGGGTTTCAACCTAATGGATAACATCCAGCCACCGCAGAAGTCGAATTTCATTCCCGCCACCACCGCAATCGGAGCCGATTAGAACACATCCATCATACAGTGACAACAATTCCATCAAGCACAGAAAAGTCAGAGCAATCAGAGAAAATCCAATAAAGAAAACAAAAGAAAATCGCAAAGAAATCCCGAGGGGATTTGCCTCAAGATATCAACATGCAAAGGGTCATCAACATAAAAAGAAAAAAAAAAGAAACAATTTCAGAGGAGGGGGAAAGATATTCGGGGTTTTGAGAGAAAAATATAGGAGAGAAAATGCTCGGGGGAGAGAAAGAGAGATAAACACAAGGGGATTTAGGGAAAATAGAAAGCAATAAGAGAGGAAAGAAAGAAAAAGTTACCTTTGGGTGATACCCACCCTTACACGTCCTTCGGAGCCTAAGAAACCAAAAGGTTTTTTCTTGGATCTAAAACATTTGGGCCATTTTCAGGCCAAATGGGGCCCTGATCCTTGCTCAGGGTCAAGAGGCACTTTGGATGGCATCTTATTCTCTACCCTCCGACGTCAGTATACGGCGGTGGCTGCTGGTCAACGGCGGTTGATACGGTGTTTGCTCGTCGGATTATGAGAGCTCTATAAAGCTCTCTCTCTCTCTCTCTCTCTCTCCCCCCCTTCAGGCGATGGGGATGGAAAATGAAGGCTGATTATATTTTAGGCATGAATTCGAGGTTTTATATTCGATACCTAACAACATCGTTTTGAGGGGACGGGTTTTGTATTTTCGCGCATGGGCTCTCATCTTTCAATTTTTGTATATAAGTCACCATTTTACATGTTATGTTATTTCTATTAATGTTTTACTCTGACTATGGTATTTGTAATAGTTTCATTTCAGTCACTGGTTTTGTGTATTATGTATTTTGGCTGGTGTTCGAATTTGGCTCTAAGATTTGTAAATATTTTATTTTAGTCACTTTTGCATTTGGTTCAATGATTGTTTGGTCCTTTACGTTTCTGGTTTATTTCATTTTAGTCATTTATATGATTTATGGGTTATTTTCATTTCTAGTATCTATAATGTTTAATATTTTCGTTTTCTATCTTTGGTTTATTTATATTTGTTTCAGCCCTTTAAATTTTTTATTTTTTCTATTTTAGTCCTTTAAAGTTCTATTTTTGCTATTTTAGTCCTTTAAATGTCTATTTTTGCTATTTTAGTCCTTTAAATGTCTGTTAGTTTTATTTGGTCCCTTAAAATCATCAAATGTGATTCTTTATGTTATTTGTGTTTAGATCTGTGATTTTTTTATTTTACTTCATTCTAGTCTTTCATGTATATGTATTTTTTATATAACGACTCTCGGTATTATTTTAGATACATTATTAGTTTTATGTGTTTTAAATATTTATTTTATAAATTTCAAATTGTATTTGTTTTCATTGTGTTCTTTATCTATCGATTTGTTTCAAATGGTTTCGAGAACGATATTTGTAGAATGGGCGTAGAAAGTATCACTTGGTTGAAGTGGTACAGTCCGATATGACATTCAAACAAAATGCGAACTTGAAATAAACCGATTTCATTATGCTAATTATTAATTCATTTTATTTTAAGTCGAACAATGTAATAAATATTTATAATTAGCCATTTTATTTTATTTTATGTTGATATTCAAGTTATATTCAATTTGTGCTTTTAAAATCAATGTGTGGATAATATTCTTTACGAATGAGAAATAGTTAAGATAATTTTCCCGACGGAGGATTGTAAATCTCAAGATTTCTTATTAAGTTAAAGTATTTTCTTTAATTAATTAATTCGAAATAAATTAATTATATTTCAATAAATAGATCATATTTTAATTTTATATTCGATTCCTAATTTTCACTATTACGACAATGAGTAAGCGATTCAGTACCCATTTTTGGCGCTATGGGGTGCTAACCCTCCCACGCGTAACCGACTCCCGAATCCATTTAAATGAATCTTTGGTAGCGCAGACCGAATTTTGTCTAAAAAACAATTTTTCTTAAAATTATTTTAAAGACGTTTTTAGGTATTTAACCTATTTAACCCAAAGGTCGAGGACAACTCCTATTCAATTTAATTCAAATTAATACAAAATCCCCAATTTTTCAAAATAAAGTCATAATTGTTTTTTAAAATAATATTTAATTATTTTATAAAAAAAAGGTAATGACAAACTCATTTTAATCATTGGACTTGCTTATATACTATTTAAGCTCACTGTTCCAGTGTGTGTGCTTCTTGAAAAGGAAAAAGAGAATACAGTAAAAATGTTGCAATGAAACAGAATCTCCCTAATATGTCTGGAGGCATTGCCGACTGCATCTGCCTAATGTGGAACATTTCAAATCAGTGTTTCCCATTGGTTTATGCAGCTTAAGCGGTTCAGTCTCTTCACAATGGTTAAAGGGTTGAATGTCAGCTTTACAAAAGAAAATCTGTGTACTTCTTTCTGTGTGTTACAAAGGAAAATAGGAGTCTGCACAACAAAATGTTTTTGATCTTTTTTTTGTTCATATCCAACCTCGGCTCTTCTATGGCCAAAATATGTACTGAATCAAAGATTCATTCTTACAGGAAGTACCTCGTGGACAACGTGCTCTTATATTCGATCAAGGAGGGTTTCCTAGGTGAGAACGTACGTACCACTATTATAGACTGCAATAAGGCACTACCGAGTTTGCATTTCGTCTTACCACTCTCTTCCTTTGATCAGGGAATTGGTTGTGCTGATGTGGATGATATCTGTTTGAAAGCATTCAACAGCAAGAAACAAGAGCTTCGATGTGGTAACCCTGTAACACAATTTCATTTCAAGTATTGAAAAACTGACAGAAACTTGATTGCTTACGTGCAGGTCTGTCATGAATATGTTCCTGAGCAAGGGAGGGAACTTTTTGAGTTGGTGAGGAAAACATAAAACCTTGATAACTTTTAATTGATTTGTGACCCAAAATTAGTGGAACTGAAGGAGCATGTACATTTTCTTTCAACAGGTTGCTCATTTGCCCGATAAAGCAATAATTATTTAACTCCGGCTTTGTCTGTTTTGGAAAAGAACACTTGATTATCATGCAAGGATAACATGTTATTACCCTCTGAGAAACAACACCCAGTTGGAACTGCGTAAACAAGAGGATGCAAGTCCCGTTATCTCTTTCGAAGTCTGCAACAAAACATTCATGTTCTCTTTTGCCCGTACGATGTTTGTCCTATAGATTATGCATAGTTTTTCTTTCCTGCAAATCCATATGTTATCTGATATAGAAATGTGTATATGTATGTATGGTGGATAGCATATAGCGTATATGGACAAAAGCTCTAGATGGAGTCACTCGATTTTTCGTATTTATGGTTCACTGTGATGTAAAACATCATGAAATGTTACATGATTCAAATTGAACAGCTTTTTGACATTTTTTTTTGGGAATGAGATGTGCATATAATATCTAGTTAGACCTTGTAAATTTGATTCAAACCCGATTACTCAAACGGATTTACCCTATTCGATGTTTGATATAGACTTGAACATCATGACCAAAGTTGATCTGAAACACAAATCAAAACTGATTCAAATTTTAACTGGATCAATATGGACTCATATCCAATTTGACATAAGCCGAAAGCAACTCGAACCGAAATTAACTAGAACCGAAAACAACCCAAATTAAAAATAACCTGAATCAAAAGCAACCCGAATTTAATTAAACTAAATCTGATCTGAACCGAACATCGATCCAATTTTTAACCCGATAATTGAGTAAAAGTAAATAAATAATTTACTATTATTATTATTATTATATATTTTTAGCAATGTGATAAATAATAAAATGATATATATTTTATTCTCTTTTTGTTAAATGTTACTAGCTAACCATCGTCTTTGTTAATGATCCGGCTTGAAACGATTGACCCAAGATAATCAGATCTAAATTGATTCGAACGATCTGTTCGCCACCTCTATAACCAGTGAATTAATTCAGATGTGATGTTTAAAGAACATATTCGGTGGGTTACAATGATAATATCTAATTAAACCAAACGGTAAGAGGAAATTGGCAATGAAAACGATCAAGGACTATAGTTATTTTTCATTCTTCATATCTTATATGATTCTGAGTGAACAAAATGCTTGAAGAATGATGATGTTTTTTGCTTTCAGGTCATGCTCACGTGCAGTTCATGTAACTTAATGCAAATTTTATACTTTAATGGATGGACCTTTGTGTGCTGATTACATGCCAGCCACACAAAAAAAAAAGTTCAACACGTGGATAAAAATGTGACAGGATAACTCTCCCACCAGAAACATGAAAATATTGCTCAAGAGATAAGGAAAATGTGAAATCTTTGTATTCATAAACCCTGCTAAAATGAAGAAATAGAATTGATGAGCAAGAAAGAGCTACACATTAACCATAATGCTAATTTATGGCCCTGCTGCAGCTTTTTGTGTCCACTGTGTCAACAGCAACAGCAACAACAACGACATTTCTAGCAAAAGTAGTAGCAACCTCAACAGATTCAACCGCCGATGCATTCTTGCTAGTAGCTTCCTTGCAGCATCGGCTTCTGTTTTAGTCCCTGCAGCCGCGCCTGCTGAGGTACCCCAAGACTTGGAAACACTGTCCAACATACCCCAAACACTTTCGGGAGAGTGCTCATCGACGAAAGATTGCAAGAAGCCGAGGATCCAGCGACCAAAGTCTAGGAAAGCCGAGTCATGCACCATCAAATGTGTCACCACTTGCATTAGAGGTGGTGATGGTTCTCCTGGTGAAGGTCCTTTCAATATAATAAGGTACTTGAATTCTTTCCAATGATCCATCTCATATTTGCTTAAACTGCTTGTGTTCTGGATTAAAAATAAGAGAAAAATGATTGTCTGTTTGGTTCATTCTCTGCAGACCTTTGGTGGTTTTTAAGGAAGGGTTTCGAAGTTGAAATTACTGGTACGATTTCTTCATTCCTCATATAGGCATTGACTGTATGTATTATTACCAGCATCACAATTATTATAAGAATGAAAGAATAGCTGCCTATATCAACAACTGTTTGCAGAGTATACTTGCATCATAGTTCAATTGTCCTTTGGATGATCATTTGCTCCAAGTTCTGGTCCAATAAATTCATTCTGCTTATGAAGACAATTTTTTATGTGTAGCTTGGTGGAGTGTTCCGACATTTGTAATTTGATTGGAGATGAAGAAGATGGACCTTGAGTTGTATATGATTCTCTTACAGCAACGGGAAAGGATTTTTCATTCGTTCATTCTTTATTCGATCTTATGTTAGAAAACAGCGAGAGAGAATGGTTTTTCAAGAGAATAGGGAACTTCTTATGTTATTGTTCTGAAAAGATTTGAAAGTGGTTAATATTCACTCTGGATTTTGCATCTCTCTAGTAAAAAAAAGAACTATCTGCAATCATCTACCAAAGACAGTCCAACTCCGTTTGAAGCTTTGAGAAGACATCCGATAAGAGGTTAGGAAGGGTGAAGACTCATTCCTGTAATCATCAACGTCTATTCTTTGGTTACCGTCTTAAAAGTAATTTCATATGTTTCGTGTATGATTCTTGACATGCCTTTAGACCTTTTAGATAACATCAAAATTTCATTTGTAATGTAAATTATGGTAAAAATACATAAATCATGTATACATTTAATTAAGATGAATGTACTTACATTACATATATAAAGTATAAAAATATGAATTTCAAAATCATAAATATTTAAAAAAAATTAAATTCAATATTCTCATTAATGTTATAAAATCCTAGTGTATTTTCTTCCCTCCCTTATAGCCGCATTTTTTTTTTCATTTTGGTTTGACAAACAACAACATCAACCTTAGTGTTGGTTGTCAACCGTCTATATTCCTCGTTTCTTATTTACTTTTTCATATGCATGTTTATGTTTTTTGTGTTATTTTAATTTATAATATTTATGTCTTTATGACACATTTTTCTTTGTCTTTATGAAACGTTTTCGGTCGATTGATCATTTTTTTCAAGGCTAAATTTGACGTCGCCTCAATTAATCAAGATGACACTTATTTGTTATTTCATTGATCTTCCCTACTTTGACCCTCTGATTGGACATGGATACACGGTTTGCGTTCTTAGATCATTTTTTCATGGTGCTCGATTTTGATTTGTGATTGTTGGTGGTCTTTCATTAGTTTAACTCTCTGTTGTGATTTGTTTACCTATTCTGTCAAATTTGTATGAATTTATCTTTTGTTCAAATTTTTTTGGATGAATTTCAACTTTTTTCTTGTCTGGTTATTGAATGATCTCAAGCGACTAGTTTATTGTATCAATGATTAAAAAAATATTGATGAGTATTCTAAATTGAATGTCTCCAACCGTGTCATTTTATTTGTTATGCTTATTTTTGTGCAGGATCTTATTTTCAGAATTAGCAGTAAAAAGGGTGCATTCCGCATTTTTTATTATTTGGTCACAGCTGGAGACATGGGCACGACTCTGGGCATGACACGGTCTGACGTGGCAGTTTCTAGAAGGTCCAGTCAGTAGCAGTTTTCTAGAAGATCTACTCAGCTCCTTCTAGAAGATCTTAGGAGACTTATTTTTAAATTTTAAAGTTTGAATTTAGAAAACATTTGGAATTATCTTTAGGAAATACGTAGTAAAGAGAAGCAATGATAGATCATGAGGGACTTAGAAAATTACGAATTTTTGTTTGAATTGCTTAAACCATGCGATAAGTAGTAAAAAGGGGTGTTTTGATAAAAATGATTAAATAATAAAAAGTGATGTAAAGTAAAAATAAGAAAATAAAAAATAAAGGTTGAAAAATGAATATGGTAAAAATAATCTTAAACCTCGCTTGACTCAATTTCCTTCAGATCATCGAATTAGATTTTTCCTTTCGGGATTCACGTCGATTACTTTGTCTACAAGGGCAATCCTCGTGACTCTATTTTGTATACCGAATACCCAAGGCAATCTTTGATTCCGGCTTCGGAAATTGATCTGATCAACATCAATTGTCGTAGATCAATAACCGTTTAAGTTCGTGAAGACCGACTCGAATTTTTGTTTCAATAACTACTAATTCCAATATCAATTCCCTCTTTGCAAGGCAATCTCGCCAAATGTGCTTTCAATAAGTCGATCATACCTCCCACACATTTAATCGCAACATCTTGACCAAAGTCAATATTTGATTTTGAAAACTATTTTGACTTTAAAAATAAGCACAGAGATTGAGAGAGATATTCCGAAGTTATCATGGTGATTTTCAATTCTCACATTGGAATTGAGTCATCGCTTCAGCTCTCGGCTTATGAGAAAATTAGCTAAGCATGACAAAAATCATACTTAGCATGTTTAAAAATAAAACTTAAAATAAAGTAAAAACGAGAACTTAAAAAGAAGAGAAAAGAATAAAACTAGAGAGAAAAAGAAGAGTAAATTCTGAGATGTGTGTTTAGGCTTACCCCAAGAGGGTATTTATAGCCTCTAAAAACCTAGAGATAAACATAAAAATAAAAATAAAAACAATCCTAAAGATAATTTCAAATGCTTTTTAAATTCAAACTTTAAAATTTAAAAAAAAGTCTCCTGAGATATTTATGCATGTTCACCTTCCAGAAGTCGTTGACTAGATGACGCCAGACAAAATAGTGATTATCCTGCAAGCACTCCAACAGATGATTCACAAGAGAAAATTCTCCCAAAAAAATCCAGAGAAAAAGTCTCTAGGGTTTAATAAAATATTATCAAATAAAAACGGTCCCAAAATCAGTCCACAAGCCGGACTGTTATAGCAAAAAATTGTCTTTATTCGAATTTTGCCAAAAATAGAAAAATCCCGAAAATCACTCTAAATTGAAATTCAAAATAAAATAAGCAATCTCCAAAAAATCCGGCCTAAATCGGATTTATATTGACTTCCTAATTGACAATCGAAATATTACCATAAATAGTAAAAACTATCTAATTCTAGTGATTCGGAGGGGAAAACGGCAGAATTTGAGGTTGAAAAAAGGCCACATGGAGCATAGCTCGATGTGGAAAGCGTGCGCGTTAAAAAGAGCTTTCCGGATTGGGGTCTTATGCGCGATTCTGACACCTGTAGCCAAAGTTATGGCCAAAAGACTGAAACATACTCAAAACGACCCCAATGAGGAACTGTCACAATCAATTCCCGCCTTTGCGCTGATCTGCCAATTCATGGTATCTCAACGCCATCAAGGTACAATCTGACAGCTCAACATCATCTGTTTCGGATCCCCCTGCATCAGTCACCCCGGGTTGGAAAGAACTCGTCCTCGAGTTCAGAGTAGTGTCATCAGAATCCACAAAACAATGACTCAGGTGCTTCACATTAAAGACATCAGAAGTCTTCAAGTGGCTGGGAAGGCGCAACCTGTAAGCGTTATCATTGATCTTCTG